CTCTTCTAGTACAGTATAGCTCTATCATTGCTGACTTGTGCCTTGTAGAGGGTGGACAGGCCCTGGGAGCCTGGAGGTGAGTTACTTGCTGCAGGATTCCCAGCGTCTGACCTGCTCTTGTAGCCACTGTGTTTATGTGATGAGTCCAGTTGAATTTCTGATCAATGGTAACCCCCAGGAGTTGATAGTGGGGGATTCAGTGATTATAACGCCACTGAATGTCAAGGGGTAACATTATATTGTCTCTTATTGGAGGTGGTCATTGCCTGGCATTTGTGTCCCATGAATTTTACTTTGTCACCAAGGATATCTGTGGAGTCTCCTCCTCCAGTGAGTTGTTTAATTGTCCACCACGATTCATGACCAGATGTGGCAAGACTGCAGAGCTTAGATCTGATCTATTGGGTTGTAGGATCACTTAGCTCTGTCTATCACTTGCTGTTAATGCTGTTTGGCGCACAAGTTGTCCTGTTTGGTAGCTTCACCAGGTTGACACCTCATTATCAGGTATGCCTGGTCCTGCCCTCCTGCACTCTCCATTGAACCTGGATTGATCCCCTAGCTTGTGGTGGATTTCCCGGGGGTCAGCACTGGGATCCTTGTTTTCCCTGATATGCACTAATTATCTGGATCTTGGTGTGTAGGGAATAATTTCAAAGCTTTCAGATGACACTAAACTTGGAAGAATTGTAAACTGTGAGGGGGACAGTGTGGAACTCCAAAAGGACATTGAAAAGTTGGTGGAGAATGTGGATCAGTGGCAGATGAAGTTCAAACCAGAATACTGTGAGGTGATGCACTTTGGTTGGAATGACATTGAAGGACAATATCAAATAGAGGATACAGTTCTAACAGGGGCACAGGAGCACCGAGACCTGGGGTATTTGTGTACAGATCATTGACTGTGGCAGGATAAGTGGAGTGGGAAGTTAATAACGCCACGACAGATGGTGGAATTTGAATTCAATTTTTAAAAATCTGGAATTAAGAATCTACTGATGACCAAGAAACCACTGCTGATTGTTGTAAAAACCCATCTGGTTCATTAATGCCCTTCAGGGAAGGAAATCTGCCATCCTTACCCGGTCTGGCCTACGTTTGACTCCAGACCCACAGTGATGTGATTGACTCAAGAAAAATCAGAAATGCAAAATGGATGGGAGATGATGCCAGTAAGGTTTCCAGCTCAGGTTGATTGGAAATAATGTTGGCCAGGAAAATAGTGAATGAGATATGGTAGGCCTTCACGAAAGAGGTAGTTTAGATTCCAAACCAAAGTACATTTGCACAAGGAGGCAGATTAGGGCATTGTAGCTAAAACAGAAAACGGAAGTGTATGCAAAATGTCAATTACAGAATTCAGGTGAAGACCAGAGAGAATAAATGTAATGCAGAGATGATTGAAACAGGATACAGAAAGGGCTAGGAAAGAATATAAGAAAAAAATAGTGAGTAACATAAAGGAGAACCCCAAAACGTTTAATAAATATTAAAAAAGGATATTTATTTAAAAGAGCAGTAGGGTAATTAAAGATAAAACAAAGTCTTATTGAGGTAGAGGGGATGACTGAGGTCCTGGATGAGTATGTGAAGAGGTTTAAATAGTTGCCTGAGCACACAGTGGGATGGAGATATTAGCCTGGGTGAAAATAGACCGAAAGGAGGTGCTAAATAAGCTGGTGTCAATCAAAATTAACACACCTCCCAGTCCAGATGGGAGTATCACTCAGTTGCTTGGGGAAACTCTAGCATTTGGTGCTGGAGGACCAGAGAATTGTAAATATTACCCCGGTTTAACGAAGAGGAGATGAGAAACTTTCTAACTTTATTCCTGCCAGTCTGCTTCAGAGAGATGGAGACACAGTAGCTATGTCACTGAGCTAGTAATTGAGAGGCCTGAGCTAAGGTGCTCCAAATCCACTATGGGAACAAATTCGAACTCAATTGTAAATCTGGAACATGAAGCTAGTCTCAGTGATGGTTACCATGACAACTGTCAGTGCTTGTTGTATAAACCCATCTGATAGACTAATGCCTTTTAGAGAGGGAAATCTGCCATTCTTACCCAGACTAGTCTCCATATGACTCCAGACCCCACAGAAATGGCCTGTCTCCTAATTGTCCTCTGAAAGAGCCAAGCAAGACACTCAATTCCAGGGCAGTTAGTGTGAATAACAACGCTCATGAATCCCCAGCTCTGATCTACTGCTGTTAATGATGCTGGACATTGAGGGGAGTTAGTCAGATTCTCTCTTAGTTGAGTTGGCCATTTCCTGGGATCCAAATGTTACTTGAAACATATCAGCCCAAGCCTGGATATTCTTCAGGTCTTGTTGCATTTGGACTGTTTGAGTATCTGAGGAGTCATGAATGGTATTGTGCAATTATCAGCGAACATCCCCTCTTCTGACCTTATGATGGAGGGAAGGGCATTGATGAAGCAGCTGAAGATGGTTGGGCCTAGGACATTACCCTGAGGAACTCCTGCAGAGATGTTCTGGAGCTGAGATGACTGACCGCCAACAACCACAACCATCTTCCTATGTGTCAGGTATGACTCCAACCAGCAGATCTTTCCCCCAGTACCCATTGATTCTAATTTTGCTAGGGCACTTCGATGCCCACTCAGTTAAATGTAGCCTTAATGTCAAGAGCTGGCACTTACACCTCACCTCTGGAATTCAGCTCTTTTGTCCATGTTTGAACCAAGGCTGTAATGAGGTCAGGAGCTACGGCCCTGGTGGAACCCAAACTGAGTGTCACTGAGCAGGTTACTACTGAGCATTTGCTGCTTGATAGCACTGTTGATAACACCTTCCATCACTTTACTGATGATCGAGAGTACACTGATGGGGCAGTAATTGGCTGAATTGGATGTGTCCTGCTTTTTATGTACAGGACATACCTGGCATTGTTGCGTAGATGCCAGTGTTGTAACTGTACTGGAGGAACTTGACTAGAGGAGCAGCAAGTTACAGAGCACAAGTCTTCAGTAATATTGCCGGAATGTTTTCAGGGCCTTTACAGTATCCAGGGCCTCCAACTGCTCTTTGATATCATGTGGAGTGAATCGAATTGGCTGAAGACTGGTAATTGTAAAGTTGGGGACCACTGGAGGAGGCCAAGATGGATCATCCACTCGGCACTTCTGGCCAAAGATTGCTGCACAGATGCATTAAAGTTTTAACAGGCTCTAAGGGAAGGCCACGTAAACTGGTACACTGGTTCCCTGGTGCACCAAAGATAGGGGGTGATTGGATTGTGGTTTATATTAATAATTTAGACTTGAATGTAGGAGGGCTGATTAGTTAGATTACAGATGATACAAAAGTTGAGGGGGTGGTAAATAATGAGGAGGACAGCCTTAGACTACGAGAGGATATGGATGAGCTGGTCAGATGGGCTAATCAGTGGCAAATGGTATTCAGTCTGGATAAATGTGGGGTGATGCACTTGGGCAGGACGAACAAGGCGAGGGAATACATGATAAATGGTACACGGTAGGACCCAGGGAAGCACCAAGGATCAGAGAGACTTTGGTATGCATGTACACTGGTCCCTTAAGGCTTCAGGGACAAGTGGACAAAGTACTTAAGAAGGCAAATAGTATACCTGCCTTTATTAGTTAAGGCAAGAGTTTAAGAGGAGGGAGGTTATGCTGGAACAGAATAAAAAGTTGGTTAGGCCACAGTCAGAGTATTGTGTGTAGTTCTGGAATCCACATTATAGGAGGGATATGATAGCACTAGAGAGGGCACAGAGGAGATTCACCAGGATGTTGCCTGGGCTGGAGAGTTTCAGTTATGAAGATATTTGGACAGACTGGGGTTGTTTTCCTTAGAGCAGAGAAGACTGAGAGGAGACATGATTGAGATGTCTAAAATTAGGAGGGGCATTGACAGAGCAGCAGGAAGAAACATTTCTCCTTGTTGGAGGGATCAATAATTAGGGGCATAGATTTAAGGTACGGGGCGTGAGGTTTAGGCAGGATGTGAGGCAAAATGTTCTCACCCGGAGGAGGGTGGGAATCTGGAACTCACTGCCTGGGAGGGTGGTAGAGGCAGAAAACCTGAAACATTGAAGAAGTATTTAGATGTGCACTTGCAATGCCAAGGCTTACAAGGCTCTGGGCCAAGTGTTTTTGACCAGTGCAGATACAATGGGTTGAAGGGTCTTTTCCTGTGCTGTAGATCTCTATGACTCTATCAAGTGTTTCGGGGTTAGGAAGGAATGAACAGGATGGATAGAGGGAAACTGATTCAGCCAGTGGGAGAGTCTAGGATGGGGAAATGAACTTAAGATCAGAGTCAGACTGTTCAAGATGAAATTTAGAAAATACTGCTACACATTAATGCTGGTAGAAGTTTGGAACTCTTCCAAGAAAACAGTAGACGTTGGTATTTAATTCATGAAATTGATAGATTTTTACCAATGTTATGAAAGGATTTAGATTGAAGGACGGTGGATGAGCTGTTGTACAGAACAACCGGTTCAAGGGACTGAATGGCCTCTCACTTGGCTCAGTTCTCAGGATTTTAGATGTTGGCACTGGGGAAGTGATTAACGCACTCAGTCAATGGAACTTGTGATCAGTGGCCAAGGCCGGATGTGAGACCCCATAAAACACAGCCTGATATTACAAATCTACATACAATCAGCAGCTCAGTTACAGCTGATTGCCACATGCTGCGATATGAGATGCTTTATTATTAACATGGTGCGTAATCATTCCTCCAAACTATTATTTTATGCATTTTGTGATTTATCGGAGCAGAGGGCAGTGTGGGGGATGGACGGCAGTCTGAGGAAGGGGGAATGCAGTTCAGGGATTGGGAGGGAGAGCAGGGAGAGAGGCGGGCGCAGTAGAGAGGTGAGCAAGATCCCATTCTGCAATGCAGCTCCAACTGGCTCTCTGTCGCAGAGAAACAAGAAGAGAGGCAGGTTTGTTGACTGAGACTTGTCATGTTGTAACAGGTAATTGGTACAACGACAGTTCTATTCACTGATTGATTCCTGAACAGCACTCCTTTTTATCTGGGCAGAATTAAGGAGCATTCTCCTGCGACACACCCGGGTTAGTACAGGCTGTGGAGACAGGTAAGCATGGTGATTTGTTTCTGTTCAGAAAAACAAAAGTTACCTTCCAATGAGTATTTAATGTCCACTCCCTTCACATACACAGCATGGAGGCTTCACGCTAGTTTTGTGAGTAATTTCTACCGTGTTTAGAGTCTGTTAGCGTGCGTTCGATGTATTGGGGCATTTGTTTGATGAGATTATTGTTGACCAGTCAGTGTCATTGGAAATGATTTATCCTGCGTTGTGGAACGTGAATGAGTCACAGAATTTTAAGTTCTCTGCTCCCCTCTTCAATAACCGATCTTGTGCACAGGTAAAACCCTCAGTTCAACACAGTCAGTCCAAAGGGCCTCGGCCCTCAGTCTGGGTCAGACAACAGCAGCCAAGAGGCTGTGGAGTGAAGCTGGTTCTTGAAGGAGTGTCGACTGTGGGATGGAGGGCAGGAGGAGTGAGGCAGTGTCTTGCTTAGCACAGACACAGTGTCCCTGTGAAACATATCACCAAAGCTGCTAAGATCAATTGAAATGTCCACAATGGAGACTCATTGATGGTTGTTACAAGAGATTGGCAAAGGATATGGAGCAACGGTGAAAAAATGGGATTAAGATACATGGTCTGAATGGTTGGACTGTCCAAAGGATTGAAGAATGTAGTTAAGTCCTTATCTTGCTCCTACTCTCTCCTTCCTCCTCTCCCTCCATTTCTCTCCCTCCAGCCATCCCTATTCTGCCCAGTGCTGCAGGATCTCATCGAGGTGTTGGAAATGTTAGAAGGATTCCACAGGGGAGACAGGGAGAAGCAATTTGGTCTGATGGAGGGTGTCCATAGCAGGTTAGGGAGCAGAATCTTAAAATGAGAGTAAGCCATTCAGGGAAGGGAGGGGGTGATGTTAGAAGGCATTTCCTCACATGAGACTAATAGAAATCTGGAGTTCTGACTCCCAGAAAATCCATGTATGCTGGGGACCTCCTGCTGTTTTAAGACTGAAATGGATAGCTTTTCCTTGTGACCAAAGGGGCTAAATGACATACTCCCACTCCTCATTCTTAAATTCCTTAAAGAAGGTGAGTAAAATTGATTAGCCATGATCTCATAGATCAGGGGAACAGACTCGATGGGCTGAAAGGCCTGTTCCTAGCAATCAACTAGCAGGAGGATCTCCAGAAGTTCCAATCATGAGGGGCATAGATGAGGTGAATGGCAGGTGTCTTTTCCATTGGGTGGGGGATTTCAAGACTAAGCTGCATATTTTTAAAATAAGAATCATAGAATCCCTTTGTTTGGGAAGCAGGCTATTTGGGCCATCAAGTCCATAGCGACCCTCTGAAGAGCATCTCACCCAGACAAACCCCGCCCCAACCCACCCACTCCAACTCATCCCTCTAACCCTGTATTTCCCATGGCTAATCCATCTAACCTGCACATCCCTGGACACTATGGATAATTTAGCATGGCCAATACATCCCAAACTGCACATCTTTGGATTGTGGGAGGAAATCAAAGCACCCAGAGGAAACCACGCAGACATGGGAAGAATGTGCATACTCCACACAGACAGTCGCCCAAGGCTGGAGTTGAACCCAAGTCCTTGGGTGAGAGGAGAAAGTTTTAAAAAAGACACGACAGGCAATTTTTTTACACAGACAGTGGATTGTGTGTGGAATGAACTTCCAGAGGAAGTGGAGGGTGCGGGTACAGTTACAACAATTAAAAGACATTTAGTTAAGTACATTTGGAGAGATATGGGCCAAATGTAGGCAGGTGGGACTAGTTTAGTTTGGGATTGTGGTCAGCATGAACTGGTTGGAGCGAAGGGTCTGTTTCCGTGCTGTATGACTGTGTGATACAAGGAGGGCCTGTTACTATTGAGCACCCTCTGTCTATCCCCTCCTGATAATTACAGGCAATTCCCCAGCTTCTATCTCTCTTCCAGAAGCAGCAACTCAAGAGTGTGGGTAAGCTCAGAAAATGGCAGGAAAAGAGGAAGCCGGAACAACAGAAGCGAGCCTGCCTGACGAGACGATGGTGGGGAAAGGGAGAAATGAATCAGCTCAACAGGCTCGGCCAGCAGCTGAGAAAAGCAGTAAGCTCCTGTCTGGCCTCCTGGCCATGAACATTGTGTTCCTGGGAGCTGCCATCACGCTCAGCGCCATCTTCAACACTGCGTCTGTCCCAGGAACCCATGTCCTGATCCTCCTCATGGTCCTCAGTGCCCTGGCAGTGGGCTGGATGACGTTTCACAAATCCATGAACCACTTTGTTCCTCACCAGGACCTGCACGCTGGTGCCATCTGGCTGAGGGGTGAGTGAAGAGATTATAGTCATGACCTGTTAGCAGTTTACAGTATCCACATAGGAATTTTGTCCAGGGTTGGATGCGGTACATTGTGCTGTGGGGGTGTAGACCTCAGTGAAGGAAGCAAAGGACTGAAGAAATGGTGAAGAACTAAGGAAAGGTCAGTGAGGAAGGTCGCAAACTGATTAGAAATACTGGCAGTTTATGCTTTGTTCAGATATGAGGAGACAGGAAGTTTCAGCGGAGGTCTTGGGTCCTGTGTGCCAAGGCTGTGAAACATGTCTTTGTGATTTTGTACAGGCATTGCCCAATGAGGGAAGATCATGGCATTTTCAACTCCACCTGGACAGATTCCAGAAACTTCTATTATTCCCCCAACATCCCCGTGTCCCCATACTCTGGCACTGGTGACCCAACAACATTCATCACACCCAACACCCCCAAACGCCAACAACCTGGGCTGGTTCAAAGCCCACCTCTCATTTCTGTGACTTTGGCCCAGTAGCTCCATTGTAGAGCCTCGAGCCCCGACCCATCACTGCAACACCACACAGTCCCCATGTCAGCCCCAACCTCTGCGCCAACTCGCTCCGAATTCATGTTCCCCACTTACCTGTTGCCCTTAAAGCCTTATGTCAATCTATCCCTTTACACACGTCATGCAAACTCATCCATTACCCACCACAGGCAGACTTCAGGCATCACATTGTGATCTCAGTCTCAATATGCTCCCTATCAAAGCTGTAGAAATCAGTTGCATTCTTGGTGTGATTTCAGGAGCAGTGTTCCTGTTTGGAGTCTGCAGTGTTGTGCTTGACATTTTCAAGGCTGGATATTTCCTTCAGAATATTGACAAAGCTGATATAATGAAGGTGGTTTATCCCATTGTAGAAGCAGTCTTCATCAGTGCACAGGTGAGTCTCGAGCCAGTTTTATTGACAATGTTGGGGAATTTAACTATCATCTGGCCCAGCCTTCAGTGCACCTTTCCTGTGGCATGTTAACCATGCTACCATCAAATCATCTACCCACCAACCAAAGAATAATTTTGTAAACACACTCACATACTTTAATATTGCTGAATAAATGCCCCTTTTTTTGAACATTTTAAGTACGCACTCGTCAGGACAATTCACAAGAATACCACTACATAGGGGGAAAACACTTTTATACTGTATGAAAAGAGTATGCTGATTGGCTGATGAGTGGACTCTGATTGGTGGAAGCATTGCCATGGAGAATGCACCAATTAGATGATTACTGACAATTAACTGCTAAGGCTTGTTCAAATTTAAACCAAGCAGATTTACTCTGGATGGCCAAAACATTGTATAATGCATAATTGTTTCTAACAGTTTCCCCACCACAATATTAGCTGGATATAGAATCACTGGGAACAACGCAAATTCATTTACCAGAAAGACAGTCTAACTGTGGGGTTACACCCAACTGGAAAGATTGAATACGCTAACACTCCACATTGGCAAGGAGAGAACTGAGAATGTTTTGAGACTGATATGAATAAGATAGAGGTAGAGTAAGTGTCCAATAGCTTGAAGGACAAGGGCAGCAAATACATGGGAACAATGATGCTTGTAAGTCCTATTCTAAGCCTCTCCCCATCCTGACTATTACAGCATCTTGACTGTTGTAATGTCAATATCATGACACTCCCAAAAACCATTTGTGCAATCAAATACCAACCATCAACAATAGAAGCATTAAACCGTGTATTATTCTTCATACACATAGTCTCCCATTTGTTGAATTGAAATCAGCCTCATCCCTCTCATTTGGCTCCATCCATTTGTATTAACATATCCTCTCACTTAAACACTAATCCTGACCAAAACCCTAGCTCTAACCCTGACTCTAACACTAACCGTAACCCTTCACCTGAGCCCTAATGCTAACTTTTTCTTTCTTAATAACATTAAACCTACTTGTAACCCCAACCTTCACCGTCACCTTGACCCTAACTATAACTCTCAGCTGTAGTCTAAACCTAACACTATCCCTAACACTAACCCTAAGCCCAAACCTGATCCTAACCCTAACCCTAACCCCAACCCCAACCCCAACCCCAACCCCAACCCCAACCCCAACCCCAACCCCAACCCCAACCCCAACCCCAACCTTAAATCTTTGCCTAAATCTCATACTAATCCTAATCCTGCCTCTAACCCTAATCTAAATGCTCAAACTTATCCTAACCCTAAGTGTAATCCTCACCCTCAGCCTCAACCGAACCTGAACTGTAATCCTAACACAACCTTAACTGTAACCCTAACCCTAACCCTAACCCTAATCTTAACCCTGACTCTAACCCTAACCCTCATCCTCTCCCTCAATATCACTCTAATTTTTACTGTAGATGCAACCCTATCTTTTCTCCCTAACCCTAACCCTAACTCTCAGCCTCACTTCACACCTAACCTTAAGCATATCTTTTACTGTCACCCTAACCTTAACCCTAATCCTTACCCCAACCATAACCCTCACCATGCCTCTCACCCAATCTCTAACCCTAACCCTAACTATAATACTGGCTTCTAACTCTTTAACGTATTCCAAAACCTACCTTAGCCTTTTGCTCTCAACCTAACCCTAACCCTAATCCTAACCTTAACTCTAAATCCAATTCTAACCCTAATATTAACACTAACCGTCAGCATCACCCTCAACCTAGCCCTATTCCTAACCCTAACAGTAATAGTGACTTCTAACTCTTTAACCTAACTAAAACCCCACTTTATTCTTTCTCTCTCAGTCTAACTCCAACCATAACCTTAACTCTAACCCTAAAACTGACTGTAACACCAACTGTAACTCTTTGCCTGAGCCCTAGCCTTAATGTTTCCTTTCTGAATAACCCTAAACCTAACCATAACCATAACTCTAACTCAACTCAAACCTTAACCCCAGACTCACCCTAGACCTCACTCTCACCATTACACTAATCCTAACTCCTAGCCCTATCCTTATTCCAACCCAAACCGTCACTCTAACCCAAACCCTAAGCCTCAACCTCACCTTGGCCCTAACACCAACTCTAACCCTAGCCCTAACTCTCAGCCTTACTCTAAACGCAACCCTCAACCCAACCCTAATACTAACCCTAACCCTTACCCTAACCCAACACCATAACCTTCACCCTCACCTCAGCCTGAATCCTAACTCTAACCCTAACTCTAACCCTGACCCTAACCGTAACTCTCAGCCTCACTCTAAACCTGACCCTATCTCTAACCCTAACACTAAACTCACCCTCATCCTCACTCTAACCCTAAACATAATTCTCACCCTCAAATACACACTCAACCTAACCTGAACCCTAACCCTAACCCTAACCTTCAGGCCAACCCTAACGCTAATCCTAACCCAGCCGTCATCCCAACCCTAAACCTAACCCTAAACCAACCCTAACTCTAATCCTGACCCTAACTCTATCCCTAGCCCTAAATGTAACTCTAACCCTAACCTTAACCTTAGCACTACGCCTCACCCTCACCCTCACCCTTATCCAAACTCTAACCTTAACCTTAACCGTAACCCTCAGCCTAAACTTAACCCTAAAATTAACCCTGTCCCTCAACCTCACCTTAACCCTATCTCAAACCCAACCCTAACCCTAATCCTCAACTTGTCCCTAATGCCCGCCTTCACTCTCACCCTTACCCCAACTTTAACCCAACCCTAACGCTAAACTTAACCCAATCCTAATGTTAAACTTAACCCAACACTCACCCCAACACTAACCCTAACCCTAACCCTAACTTTATCCTTTCTCCCTCATCCTAACCTTAACCCTAACCAGAATTCTAAAACTAACTGTAACCTTTTACCCAAACACTAACCCTAACATTATCCTTTCTCCCTAACCCTAACAGTAACCCTAAACTAACACTAACACGAACTATAACTCTAACACTAACTGTATCACTGACTCTAATCCTCAACCTCAGCCTAACCCTAACTCTAACCCTTGTCCTCACTGTCACCCAAGCCCTCAAACTCACCCTCAGACTAACCCTAAAAAGCTAACCTTAACCGTAACACTAACCCTAACCCTAATTCAAACTCTAACCCTAATCTTTACCCTAACTCTAACACTAACCTTATCCTTTGTCAGTAAACCTAACCCTAACCCTCACCTTCACACTCACCTTAACCCCAATGCTAACCCTCACCCTAACCCTCACCCTTCCCTCAAACCTTAACCCTAAATTAACCCTGTGCCACATCCTCACCCTCACCCTAACCCTAACTCTAATCAGAAGCCCCAAAATTCACTCTCACTCTCACCCTAACCGTAACCCTCACCCTCATCCTAACTTTAAACCTAATTCTAAATCTAAGACTGATGCTATCCTTAAACTTTACCCTAGCCCTCACCCCAACCCTAACTCTAACCCTAACTGTAACTCTAATGTAGCCCTAACGTAAACCCTAAAGTTATGCTTAAGTCTTACACTCATTCTAACCCTAATACTGTATCCAACCTAACCCTAACACGCACCCTCACTCTAACCATAACCATAACCCTCACTCTCAACATATCCCTAACCCTAACCTTTATCCCAACCCAAACACCTGCCCCGAACTGTCCACTAAACCTAAGCCTCACCCTAAACCTAACTTTAACTCATCTTCACCATCTCCTTTGCCCTATCCCTAACCCTAAATGTAACCCTATCCCTATCCCTACACCAGACAGTCACCTTGACCCTAACCCTAACCTTAATCATAGCCCTAACCTTAACACTTACCTCATCCTCACCTTCAACCTTGCCTCAACCTTAACCCTACCCCTAACATTCAGCCTATCTTTCTCCCTAACCCTACCCCAACCCTGAACTGTCAGCCTTAATCTACACCAATGCTTAATCATAGCCCCAAACCTCATTCTAAACCTAACCCTAGCCTTAACCCACACCGTCACCCTTACCCTAACATAACCCTAAACCTCAGTCTAACATTATCAATCACTCTCACATTAACCCTACCACCCTAACTCTAAACCTCAGCCTAACCCCTATCCTTACCCTCACCCTAAACTCTAACCTTAACCTGACCTTGCGCCTCACGTTCACACTAACCCTAAACCTAACCCTAACAGTATCCCTAACCCTAAATCTAACCCTCAGCCCAAACCTAAACCTAACCTTAATCCTTACTCTAACCCTAACAGCCTAACTCTAACACTCATCTTCACCATAACCCTAACTCTATCCCTAAACCACACCCAAACCTAACCTACACCCCAACCCTAACCCTAATCGTGAACCTAAACCTAATCTTAAACCTTACCCTCAGCCTCACCTCACCCTAATCCCAGCCCTAATTCTAACCCTCACCGTATTCGTAATGCTAAAACTAAACCTAACCCTCACCCCAACACTAATCCCCTAACCAATAAATCTAATCTTCACTCTTACCCTAAGCCTAACCGTAACCCTTTCCCTCACATTAACCCTAACCATAACACTAATCCTCAACCTTTCTAACCCTAATCCTCACCCTCACTCTCACTCTAACCCCAACACTACCCTTGACCATAACCCTAATATTAACCCTCACCCTATCCCTAACACAAACCCTAACCCTAATCCTAACTCTAACCCTCACCTTAACACTAACCGTCAGCCTCACCCGAACCACAACCCTAACCCTATACCTAACCCTATATCTAAACCTAATCCGAAGCCTGACACTGACCCTCACCCTAAACCTAACCCTCAAACTAATCCTAACCCTATCCCTCACTTGCACCCTCACCCTAATCCTATCACTATCCCTTACACCAACCCTAGGCCAACCATAACTCAAACCTTCACCCTAATGTAAAACTAACACTAACCCTCATCCTTACCTAAACCTAACCCTAACCCTAACGCTAATTCATCCCTAAACC